ACAGATAGGAACTCGGAACAAAACAGTCCTAAATGACCAATTTGGGAACAATGTGTTCCATTTACAGAGGGGACCTCGGAACAAAACAGTCCTAGTTTATCAATATCGGAACAATGTGTTCAATGCACAGAAAGGAACTCGGAGCAAAACAGTTCTAATTTATCAGTTCGAGAACAATATGTTCCATTTACAGTTGGGAACTCGGAACGAAATGTTCCTCTTTTACACTAGAGTGAACGTTTTGTTCCTACCATGTAAAAAATCTGGTCCTCTTATAGTCAATAGGAACACAAAAACGAGGAACAGTCGATACTTGAGGAACGTTCCTTTTGGAATATAGGAACAGCCAACGCAACTCAAAATCAGCGAAAAAGCGAAGCAAAGACTAAAGAAAAACTCAAAAAAGCGTAAATCAAGCGCTTAGGTGAAAAGGAAACAATCTTTAACAACTGGTGAAGTTTGTTTCGCTCAAAGGCAGCGAAACACGCCATGATAAATTTTTGGGAAATGTAAGGGAAGGAAGGAAGGAAGGAAGGAAGAAAGGAAGGAAGGAAGGAAGGAAAGAAAGAAGGAAGGAATGAATGAATGAAAAGTATTGATTAAAAGTTCAGGCACAGCATACGTGTGAAGGGTTAACATGTCAACTTCAGACTGAAAATTCAATGACAAGGAGTGCATTAACTTATCAATAACATGAGTCGAAGCATGCTAAACTGATTTTATAAATCTTACTTGAAATACCTCGTTTCGCAAGCTATCTGAAATAGATAGAATGAAGCGACTAGGAGTACTTCAACCTAACTTCCGCAACCCACCCCCCAAAAAGTGGATTATTTTCTTAGAAACCTTAGGAACATCATATTCTGCTTGGTTTCTTTTGGCTATTTATCATTTCTTATATTCCATCATGTCGCTCGCGCGCGATTGGTCTAAACTCGTTACTTGACTGAATATCCCCCGGCTAAAACTGGGTAATATCCCAGTGATATTCCCCAATATTCAACGTTGCGCGTGTTACGAATAATAATTAAAATACAACATGATAAACATGAGAGCCTCTTTTTGGCGAGAAAATATGCTCGCATGTTTGTCCTTCTTTGTACCTTACCTATTCCTCGAAGTTCATAGTTTTCCTGAAGCCTCTTTCGAAAACTGTCCGCTTCTCGGACCAGGTCATGACCGTGGGCAAATAATCGACTCTATTTTCGCGCCAAATGGAGGCTATTGTTTATATATCCAACGGGTGCTCGTGTGATAATTCTTAAATATATGAATTGCAAGCTGCTTGTTGATTCCGGATGCAATAAGAGTGTCTGAGGATTGACTGTCTTTGGACAAGACGGACAATTAAGAACATCAAGGAGAAGGTAGAAAGGCAAAGGTAAGACGACATTTCACTGAAACAAAAGACATTGGTTCTTAAATAGTTCTACCTTTAACTATCTCCAAAGTTTGGTTACAACATACCGGCCAACAATGCCTGGATTTAATTTTACATTTCCCTAGGACATTATATCGTGTTCTGTCGCTGCTATTTTCTGTTTATGAGAATGCCTTAGTGGGATATAAGCGTTATATAGTTAACCAAATAAATGTCGAGGCTTCCATGCATTGGAATAAGGGCACTCTTCCATCGACTGAAAGCAAACAAGACAACATCACACATTTTTGCAGCTGCTGAGGCAAAAATTGAAAAATAAAATAAAATAGAAGTACCTTATTCTTTGCACTGTCAGTGATCAGTGAACTTCGCCCCATGTTTTTGCACAGTTGCACAGTTCAGACATCTTTTACTCTACACTAGTTCATCTTTACGAGCTATTTAATGTAAAAAGGAGCTTTAAGTCGGCGATGGAAGGGAGGTACTTTTGTTGAGACATTGGAAACAACATGGCGTGCCAATATCCATAACAATTCCTCTCGCGCACTAGGAATTTAATTTTACATTCCCCTCGGATATTATATCGTGTTCTGTCGCTGCTATTTTCTGTTTATGAGAATGCCCTAGTGGGATATAAGCGTTATATAGTTTACCAAGTAAATATCGAGACTTCCATGCATTGGAATATGGGCACTCTTCCATCGCCTGAAAGCAAATAGGACAACATCACACATTTTTGCAGCTAAATATAGCTCACGCGAGAGATGGCGAAACCGCTTTTTGAAAAGTCAGTTTTTGATGAAGTTAAATTTGTCTTAATTCGTCGACAAACAGGAAACAACATGGCGTGCCAATAGCCATGACAATTCTTCTCGCGTACTAGGAATTCATATTTTAATCAAAACTAGTGTCGGTTTTTTTCGTTTAGTTTTCTTAAATAATGGTTAAATCGCGATATAAAACTAAATGCGACTTTGAGGCGAGATCACCGCATTATATTAGTGGCGTTGGATGAAAATATATTTACGAGCATATATTTTCTCCAAACAATACAAGCTGCTGCTTTTTGACACCAGATACAATACAAGTGTCTGCAATTTGACAAGACGGACGTCCAAGAACACCAAGTAAAAACTGCAAAGGTAAAAGTAAAAGTAAAGCAAAGTACACTTTTGTTTCCCTAGATTTGCTTTCAACTAACCCGTAAGGCTGGTTAAAACATGCCGGCCAATAATGCCGGGATTTAATTTTACATCCCTCTAAGATATGCCATCTTGTTCTGTCGCTTCTAGTTTCTGTGTAAGAGAGTACCCTAGTGGGGCATGTGTTATATTGAGCTAAACGAAAATCGAGGTTTCGAAAGGTTAGAATAAGGAAAGGACGCAAGACACAGTTTATGATGAATGAAAATGGCTTTATGAAGTTTTCAACTAATGTTTTCGAGTTTCTAAAGGAAGAACGTGCTATGCGGATAACTTGGACAAAGCTGAATGTGGATACCATGTTTCTTCTGACAGGTGACTTGTCGACTGTGTTAACATAATTCTTCGCATAATTTAACCCTGAGCTTGGTCTACAAGGTGATACCATGTTTGTTTATTATGACGTCCTGTGACGCCATTTGACCTGCCATCTTGGATTTCACTATTATTAAACGGAAATTAATACAAAATCAAGCCAGAATGTTTAGAAATGTAGAAAACGATGGTTCCAAACGGCGTTATTCCTTGTTCGTCTTCATTCGCCCTGTTCTTTCTTTATTTTGCTAAAAAACCAACAGCATAATTTTGATGAGAGGAGCATAATTTAGAGAAACGAGCATAACTTCCACATAATTCCCAAAAATTTTGAACAGTGCTAGAAGTATAATCTGCCAGTTTTGCGCGCGCAATCGACAGAAGCCTAGTCTCTAAACTCTGAGGCATATTAATATAATTTTGAAACAGTTTTATTTTACGAACAGAAACACTTTCGGAACGTCATGATCAGTACACAAAAAAACAAAGTTGTAAAAGCAACATGAAATTGCACATCGAAAATTTCACAGAAATTTTTCTATATAATGTTTTTTACTTCGTAAGGTGCTTGGCAGTCCTAACATGACATATGTCGTGAGGTTTAGCCATTTAGGGAAGAAAAGAAGGAGATATATTAAGATAGCGAATAACAGACACTCGCATTTATCCATTGTGTTGGTCTTTTGAATAAAATAACTCTTTTAATAATATATATGCATGAAAAAATTACTCGATTCTGATTGGCTGAGAGCAGTACAGTTCAAGTGTAACACCCGTGCAAAAAGTGTAACACCAGTACAAAACGTGTAACACCAGTGCAAATTACACAACGTAATCCTAGACTATGATTGGCTGAAAGAAAATAGGAAATTTTCTAAGCCAATGATATCACGCAAAATGATGGCGAAACTTAGGCGCGGAAACTTTGAAAAAAGTTTTCTCGAATGAGAAAAAATGGCTTCAAGAAAGATCTTCTGACATTTCCTCCACGCGAATTTTTTTCATGGTAATATTATCGATAAGTAATCATACGGTTTTTCTCGTTCAATTTGGAATTAATTAGCACTTGTGAGTTTTTCAAAAAGCTGAAATTGCACTCGCCGAAGCGGCTCGTGCAATTTCAGCTTTTTGAAAAACTTATTTGAATGAAATTAAATTTTAATAAACATTTCAAAATAAAATGAGCGATAGAAATTTTACACAGCGTTTCGATGTCGTCATGACATCATTATCAAGTGAGAAGAAAATAAGAAATCGCTCATTTATGGGCTTACTCGTGCAAATTAATTCCAAATTGAACTCGAAACGGTATGATTACCTATACTAACTAATTCACATGTAGAAAAGGTGGATCTGCTTGATGCTATTAGCACTGTATTCAAACTCACACCACGTCCTCAGGCACTAAGAGATATTTGCCTTCTTACTTATTTTTCATCTAAATGTTCAAATTAGTTTTCAAACATCTCCCCATTGACATGAAATTTTTAATACGGTTAAACAAGAATTCAAGTTTATCTTTTGGGAAGTGCTTTAAATGGTTTTGCATCCAAGAATCTTTGGTAAGAGACTGGGCGTTATATTCAGTTTCAAGTGGAAGGGGGTTGAGTAATTATTGAAAAAAATATATATTAGTGTTTAAAAAACACTTCACAGACTGGACACTAGACATTTATGGGTTTGTTTGTTTATAAAATAACACTAAAGAGGAGATTGGCTGAAAAGCAATTTGAGTTCCAAAGCTAGTATACCTGATGGTTCTCTTTAACTCAGTGGTCCTGGCATTTTAATTCAAAAATGATTTGTTCAATTGGTAAATAGTGTCCCCAATTGGTTTTTCTACAGCTACAATTGTAGATCCCCTTTGACACTCAAATAAAGTCTTTCATTTATTCTTTCTGTCATTCATTCATTCATTCATTCATTCAATATGGAGTGTTTGGTGTTCAGTTTAAACCACCCGGGCGTCGCCATGTTCACTTTATGACTGTAATTATGACGTTTAGGCCAGCAACCACGGAGAGTGGTCCTTCTGGTATACGTTGGAGACCGATACAACGTAATATTATTACATTTAATAAAGTATACCTTTTTAAATATATATATATATATATATATATATATATATATATATATATATAACAACCCTGAGAAAATACGCGCGCTAATTGGTTAAAATCCTGTTTCTGTAACTCGATGGAAACACAGAACTAGCACGAGCAGTTGACGTAATGATGGCGCGTGCAAGGAGAATTTACATTTTCATAATCAAAGTAAACAAGTTGTTTTCCTTTTTTCCGTCGCGGTGTTTTCTAAAAGAAATAGAAAACATGTTCTCCGTGTTTCTATTGAGTTATAGGAACACTCGAGAAAGTTTGGGAGAACTCGAAAAAGCTGTGGAAACAGTCGCCTGCGGCTCTTGTTCCCACAGCATTTTTCGTTCTCCCAAACTTTCATTCGTGTTTCTGTAGCTCGATAGACACACGGGACATGTTTTCTATTCCTTAATTAATCCTACGTTGTATCGTATTCTTTTTTATTTATCTTTTTATTTTTTTTGCAGCTCTCTGCACTTGTGTTGTGTACTCACCATGAACTTCAACAGCTGGAACTGGTTCTGGAGTGTGTGTCTTGGAGTGACAGCAGTTGTAATCATTATTAGCAACTCCCTGTCAATTGTAGTTCTTGTCAAGCGAAGGTTTCGCAAACGTTCTCTTTACCTGTTAATCGATTTGGCAATAGCTGATCTGCTAGTTGGATTATTTGCAGTACCGATTTATATGA